CTGGCTCCGCGACGGATCATGACTATGGACGAGATGGACGAGCACGCGGTCCGGATTCGAAGCTTCTTGAAACGCAGAAAGCACCGTGCGGCCACAGCGCTCGGCGTCGTCACTGGCGGCTAGCGTGAGCTCGATGGTCGGCGCGCGGTTGCGCGGGAGCAGCGGCCGTGGCGGTGGGAGTGCGCTGCGAACGTTCTGCAGCTCCGAACGCAGCGGAATGTCGACTTGGGCGTGGTCGTCCCAGAGCCCAGCTCCGTAGACGAGGCGGCGGCTCGAGAGCGCGAGCAGGACCAGCGCAGAGCTCCATCGCGTCATTCCTCGGCCTTTCCAAAATGATTGAAACTTCGATCTTTACCGGTTACTGTATCCGGATTGCACGTTTGGCGTTCGGCGTGCATTGTTTAAACCCACTCGATCCATGTGGGTTAAACCCGTCCAGTAGCCTTGGCTGCAGACTCATGGACACCACCAGCATGGGCGCGTCGTCATGGAATGCTCGACACGGTGTGTGGCCTCTCTGGCACCCTCGCGCTGTTAGCAAACACTACCCTTATTGCTGGATAAAAATCGACTCTCTGTATGGGTGGCGTACCCAAACATGTAGCTAGACACCTCACGCTGTTGTAAATGATACTTGCGTGCCGACCTCGTGGCGTTGATAACGTGGCGCTGTATAAGCTTCGTCTCGTGTACGCTTGCCCGACGCGCAATATGTAGCACACGCTCGTGGACCCTGGCAGCGATTAACACAGATGGCTTTAACCGAAAGTGCAAACGCGTTTAAACCCATTCACGGTAAACCCAGAAGAATGGCGCTGGCATGGCAGCGGACGACGACGCGCGGCTTTTGCACGGCGGGCATCCACTTTGACACGTACCGCTTCGCGCAGAACCTGCGCGCGAAAGGTCGCTTCTATCGATCTATCAATGTATCAAGCTTAGCGCCACGGTAGGCTTCACGCCCAAGGAGGCCGAGGTGATCTTGGCCGCAACGCGCAATGCCATCCAAGAAATGAACACGTCCCGTGCGTCCTTGGTGCGCTCCTTCCTGTTGACATATATAGATGCATGTTTATTATGCCTCTAGTACATTCCCAAGGCGGACCACCTCGAGCTCAAGACCGACTTGTCCCAACGCGTGCTGCGCTCGACCATGAACTTCGGTGCGGCGTCGTCGAGGCGCGATACGACGGATGGACTTACTGTGTGTAGATGTGGCCCACCGCCACATGCGCGAAGTGCTCGAGCGCGACTTTAGCAACCTCAAGAACGACATTCGCATGACGGAAAAACTCGACTTTGACAAGGTGCGGTTCGAGCTCCTCAAGGTGGAGAAGGAGGTACTATGAGGATATTGGATGGCGCAAAAGGTTGATGGCGGAAGGTAGTTTTTGCTCCAGAAAAAGACGGACGAAGAGACGCTCAACACGCTGCACATTGCCAACGAGCGGCTCGAGAAGCGCATTCTGCAGTTCGTTGTCGGTTTCTCGGGCTCGATGATGCTTGTGCTGGCGCGCCTCGGCGCCTTCTTTTAATGCATGTACACCAATATCCTGAACCAGCGATTGGTTGAAATGGGGTGCGAGTACAAAGATGGAGAGAGACTTTTCATGTGCGCGCGAGGCAGACCGGTCCGTACGAGCGAGGAGCGTGGGTCGTCTTGTTGCAGCATCGTGCGAAGAATCAGGTATCGGTACACCAAGGGTCCTTGTGTAGGCTGGCGTGCTGGCAGATGGACACACATATCAGCCTCGCCACTCGGCTTGACGAGACGTCGGGGACCACTCGGTTGGTTCTGTAGCTCGACGCAGTGTCGTTCAGACAACCGTATCCATTCGCATCGCAGCTTTCAGAGCCGAGTGCACGCGGCGCGGTCACATGGAACGCACGGTGGAGGCCAGTGAGGGCCTTGGACACGCGATGCACGCCATTGCGCCACGTCTCTGGCGCCGGCTTGGCTCTGTAGTCGATTGGCCATTGTGGGTGGATATAGATATCTTATATTGAAAGGCATTCAAACGCTGCGTTTACAAACTATCGCCACGAGGCCACGATCGTCGAGGCATTCGAATCGCAGCTGCAGAGCGGCGCCGGCTCGTGGGTGTGACCGTCGTCATCATCGTCGGAGGTGTCGAGGTCGATGTGGGACTTGGACGAGGCTTTGAGCGACACCATGAAGCTGCCGCTGTGCGCGTGGTTCTCGATCGTGCTGGAGCAGGGTGTGACGGCCGAGCTCACGTCGAGCTCGACGGGCAGTCCGAGCAGCGATGCGCGCGAGTAGTTGCCGAGGTTGAGCGACGCGAGGGAGAAGGCCAAGCACGTGAAGCTCATGCTGGTCGATTATTCAAAAATGCTCTGCGCCCCGCCTTTCTCGTTGCCGCCCATCGTGATTGGCCAAAATTCTGTTTCCAGGTGGTTTCACCACGAGACAGGGCAGGGTCCGAATTTCAAGCCCTCAAAAAAGGGCGTCTACCCCACATTGAAGTTGCACTTGCGACGCAGATCCTATTTGAGACGCGAGAAGCCAGACGCAGAACGCTCTAGAAGACGCAACTTCTTGGTGCTATGCCATCGTGTCCATGGATTAATATATATTTCATGTCCACGATGAGCAACTACATATGACGCGAATCGCGGGCGATAAACTGAAGAGACTGCTTGCATGTTGTTACGTGACCAGCCTTTTTGGGCGACCCTTGACTGCACACGCCGAGAAGCTTTTAGAGTCTGTCTCACCATGGAACACCATACCGGTACGCCCGTCGCCATTGCTTACCACGACGCCCACGCCCTTGGATCCCCCCTCTTCTTCGCACGATGCCGCGACGAGGCCATTACCGAACTGCACGCAGCAGCTTTGCCTCGCGATCGCATTCACAAGTTCTTATCGTATCGTTGCGTGCATCGAATCATTTGAGCTTCATTAAATACTGCGCTATCTCCCTTCAACTACCTGTATTCCTCGGCGCGGGGCTCCAGGTCATATGCGTCAGGCTCATGACGTCGTGTTTGTCAAGAGGATGCGATACCCTCGACACTTGTACGACGTCCTCTTCTGTGCGTCGATGACCTCCACATCGTCGTGCGCAAGACAATAATGTGTCCACCGTTTGACGCCTCTCATTGGTGCATCGAACTGCACCCCGAAAAATGGCGCGAAGCGAGCGCTGCCCCCGATGCGCGGGTGATGGCCATGTGTGAAATCAGATTTCACATTTTCCACGTGTGAAAAACGCGCTCGCATTTCGAAATCGACCCATTATTGCCGCGATGCTGCGTGGACGGTTGCGGCAACTGGCTCGGGCAGCGCCAGCCGACGCGCCGCTGGACATGGAGGCCATGGACACGACAGAAGACGACGCGCTCGATGCGATTGCCGTACGTCAACGACGCGACCGCATGGCGGCGGATGGATGTACTACAAGCACTACTAGGGCGACGTGATGGACGACACCTTGGCAGCGATTCACATGCTGCTCGGCCGGTACCACCGGGCGTACGCGACCTTTCCGTTGCCGTCGCTCGTTCTCGCCCATCACATGTAGCTGCTGCCCACTCGCTACTCGCTAGTGGCCTCACGCTGCGCATCGTAGCTACAGTGTTGTGCCCAACCGAACGCTTGTCGACCGACGCGTACACTACGTGCTGTGTCCCCTTGGCTCGATCGCTCCGGCTGCATAGGTCCATGAGCTGCGCATGGACGGCACGCTGCTCATGCTGCACGTCAATCTACCAGGTGCAGCTCTGACGTCACGACGACGATCGGACTTGCATTGTGTAGGTCCCAACGTGCACGCGCTTCTCTTGACGCACGACTACACTGCTTTCCTCCTCGACCAGTCGAGAGGCAGCCGCGGCGCCCGCATGTTTGCCAAGATCCTACCGCGACTCTCGATGGTCTCGTTGACCCTGTACGTCGATTTCGTCTCATGCTGATGTGAAAGCACTCGACGCTCGCCAAGAGTACGCTCTACGCGGAGATGCGCGCACAGTTCACGCGGCGAGGGCGACCGCCGCCACCAGACGCGGCGCTCAATAAGGACATTGCGTACGCTTCAAGGCAGGACGGCTCGCCTCAACTGGTCCTAGGCACCTCGTGCACCTCGGCTTTCTTGTGGCCACGGTCGAGATGGCCGTCGATCGTTATTACTTCTCGCTCCCGCGCCTCGGAGCGCTCATCTCGGCGCTGCATGTCGGCCGGCGCACGGTCCGCATGCTTCTACAGGTATGCGCCAAGGATGCAACGCATTCTAACATGCGGGCAGCGGGCGCCGTACCGAGAAATGACCGAGCACGACGTCCTCAAGCGCAAGGTCAAGTCGTCGCCCTTTGGCATGAGCTACCACGTTCTCGAGATGGCGCACGCAGGCCTCGTCGCCCGCGTTCCGACGGCGACGTCGTTTCTGCTCAAGTACACGGACCCGGCGGACGGACAAGCATGAGTGCGCTGTGTCGACTCGTCAAGCCCTTGCGGGATGCCACTCTAGTGCTCGCTGCTTTACTATCGACTTGATTTTGGCCTTTCCCAGTGGACTTACTTTTGCACAGTATATCGTATAATTCGATTGGAACTCGTTTACAGCGCGCTGTCCTTGGGCTTGAGCGTCGGCGGCTTGCGCGCCGTGCCAAGCGGCAACGTCACAACGTCCTTGATCTTGCCCCACTCGGGCATCGTCACGAGCTCCTCCGACGCCGTCGGGTGGATCGCCACGATATTGTCAAAGTCCGACTTGTACGCACCCATCTTGACGGCAACACCAAAGCCCTGGATCATCTCGTCGGCGCCGAGGCCCGCGACGTGAACGCCAATGACCGTCTCTTCTTCGCCAATGCAAATGAGCTTCATGGCCGTCTTTTGCTTGTCGTCTTGCTCGCTCATGGCGTAAAACATGTTGAAGAACGAGCTCGTGTACACCTTGACGTTGTGCGCGCCGTACTGCGCAATGGCCTGCGGCTCGGTCAAGCCAATCGTGCCAATTGGCGGGTGGCTAAACACGACCGTGGGAATTTGGTGGTAGTTGATGCACGCGTTCGGCTCGTTGCCAAAGAGACGGTCGGCGAGGCGACGACCTGCCGCAATCGCCACCGGCGTCAGCTCCCACCCCGTCGTCGTGACGTCGCCCACCGCATGCACGTTCGGGACACTTGTGTTTTCTTGGGCGTCGACTTGGATAAACTTGTCGGCGGAAAGGGCAATGTCGGTGGTCTCTAAACCCAAGTCGTTCGTCCGGGGCGTGCG